GTAAGTTTTACCCCCTTTCACCCTTCCAGAGCCGGGCGGGAGGGGGTCCCTGAGGGTGGGGGCACCCTCAGGGCACTATAGTGCCAGGAAAACGAGTATGTTTTCCTGGCACTATAGTGGTCCTTTAAGTTAACCTTTAGAAATATAAACCTTAACTTAGATGTGACCAAAATATTAGATTAACTTTAAAAACCAGTCCTACATAACTATTTCTTTATATCATAGGTAGAATATTATCGTTTACTTAGGGCTTGTTTCCAATGTTGTTTGTAAATTTAACAACATGCTACTCGCTAAAATGGTTGCCATTAATTTTGCGACTGATATTCTTAATTGATGAGATTTTTTTTTTTAATAATTCTTTATATTTGTTGTGCATGATAAACACAGAGCATGTCACCATATCCACGGTTTGGAACATCAATAGTGTAGTTTAACAAGATCAGGTGTATAGTAAAATTCAGCACATTTTTATTCATGGATAATAGAAACAAGACAAATATATAGTGCGTATTAGGCATTATAGACAGCTTAACAGTATTAATGGGGATTATATGCACCATGAGTGCTTAAAGTAAAGAAAAGAATGCCTTAGGTGGTCCCCCAGGTACATTAGGTGTGCATCCTATATTCTAGAAGAGAAAAATTAATCAAAAAGAACAGAACTTTCATTTTCTTCTCGGTGAGCATGCAGAGGGTGCCAAGATAATATGAGCTAGCTCAGAGGTCAGCTTACACCCTGTTGGGGAAGCACAGAGAGTCCTGGTACCAGGCCATGAAGTCCACCTGGTGGAAGGTAGAAGGCAAGATCCAAAGAGGTACACTGAATCCTCCGTAGTGGTGTTAAGTTCCCATGTGGGGTTGAGTGCAGACTCACTGGGTGTGTTGTAAACTGCTGCCGGTAACTGGATTTAGGGTGAGTCTCCAGTCTCTGTTGATGGAGCCCCGCTGCCACTTGCTTTCGGTGCGGGTTTTACAATTAGATGGGAGGCATCTCTGTCCTTTTCGGACTTGCTTTGCAAGGGGATCAGAGTGCTCACGATAGGAGCGTGCGGGCATTCCTTGAGAATGTTCACTTGGTTTGGGTGTTGTGGCATAGTGCTGTTGGGGCGCCAGACTTCTCCAGAAGGCATCAAATATGCTGTCCAGCCTGGCCGCAAGGTCCGGCTGTTCAGCACTACACTTAGGTGAGCATGTGGCATCCACCATGACACTTGCCTCCGAGGCTGCAGGTCGTCTATCCGGCACCATTTCATGTTTCCCACATAGCCAGGCTGCCCCCCAGGAATGGACCGAGATTACCCCCACCGGTCCAGGGGGGGAGGGCAGGGGTTCAGTGGATTATACACTGCTGATGCAGGGCTGAGGAGAGTGGCCGCCTCTCCCCGGTTCCAGCACCTGCAGGCTGCATTGAGCCATCTCAGGCTCCAGAGCTCCAAAACTCTTGAATTAGGGTTCAAAACGTGCACTAGGGCACTCCCAGCACAGGTAGTGCACAAAGGTGTGTGTACCAGCTTGAGATTCGGGAGTATTTCTAGGAAATCCGCATATACAGCAGAAGCCCTGTGAACTTCTGGTGCCGCCCCCCAGTTTATGTGAATTTTGATGCCTCCCATAAAGAATAATTGGAGACCATATTTTCTAGTTACCAACTAGTTTTCATGCTGCATGTTAATTTGTAATGGCTGGGGTTAGTTTACCAAAATTAGAATCTATCTAAACTAAGAGAGAGGATTATCTCACCCACCCTGAGCCAGTCAGTTCTCTCTATTTACAAAAAAATAAGTGCCACTGGGTGACTAGGGATTACCAATCCCAATGCTCAGGGGTTCTTAACCTCTGAGGTGTACCTCCCTGTGGAGGTGCAAAGGTGTTAGTAGGGAGGTCTGACGTTTCTCATTTACATTTTTGCATTTGCATTTTTTTAGAATTTAGTTGAGATACAGTCGAGTGGCGAGATCTGGATGAAAAAAAAATGGTAGAGGTGTCCAGATATTCAAAAATCGTATAATCGCATTGTTCGGTAAAATGAAGACTGCTGTTATTGTGTGCGGTTGTGTTTAGTAACATGAAGACTAATTGTCTGTTTAGTTTAATCTTGTACCAAACCCTCGTGCTGGAAATGACTCACAACACTTGCTAACAACAATCGAAAACAGTAGACAAGCAGTCACACGATAACTCCGCACTCTACAACCGTTATTGTTAGGTTGCAATGCACTGTCTGTATGACCGCAACAATAGATTTTTCCCGGACCGTTTAATTTTAATTTAATACTTAGTTCACTAAGGGCTTGACAAATTTGCTTGGAATCTAGGAGCCAGTTAGAGAAGTAGGAGCAAAGTTTTTTTTAAACTAACAAACCTTTATTTTCAGCTACAAAAATACACTTAAAAGAATAGTCACCAAAACCACTACAGCAACATTTTCTTTACAGTTTCTGTGTATCTGAGGATGTTAAAATAAAATATCCATGTCAATTACGTAATTTTTCATTAATTGCTAATAATAAATATTTATTATTAATAGCTTGTGGAAAGGGAGTTGTGAGACTAAAAAGGTTTAAAACCCCTGCCCTAGCCAAACCACCAATAAATGTTTATAACAATCCCTCTTCACATTTAAAGGGATACTATAAGCATTAAAACAAATTAAGGTTAATGAATCACTTTTTGTGTATAGATCATGCAATATACTTACATATTGATATCTTAATTGAAGATCTTCTTTCTTCAATCTTCTTTTTTTGGTTATCAAAATAGCTCATTAAATCCTGTCACTTTCATATTTAAAACTATTTGAATTAAAATATCTGAATGCTTTGTAAGTGCACTGTAATTTGTAAACTTGGGCGCCAACACACAGTGATCTTGACTGCTAACCCAACCAGTCCCGACCAACAACCCGTTGCCCCCCAATAATACATGGGACACCTCGTTCTTGTGGATAAGGGCAACAGCCACAGCTTTATTTAAATTAACAGTTTAAATCAGTCCCAATCTGCCAGCTGTTGGGTGTTTGTCCAACAAGCAGTTCTCACATGCATTTTGTACAATGAGCCTCGACAGCCAGCTCCTCGCCATCAGCTCTGTGCCGGCTCTCGTCTCCCCAACGTTCCTTTCTTCCTCTGCGCTGTCCAGGGAAACCGCCAAGCTGTGACAACACAAAACAACAACACGAGACACAAGCCACAACACCAGAAACAGGGAGGGAGGGTGGGAAAACAGTCAGGAGCCCTCAACTGATCCTGCCAACTGGTAAGTCCCCTCCCCCTCCATTTCTTTAAGAAACCCCCAACCTTAGCAACATTGTATCTTCCTTGACCCTGCCCACCATCTTGGGCAGCAGTCATGTTCCCCCTTCCTTATTCTTCCAGGGGGAATCTGATGGGTAAGCCTATATTATATGATGCTTTGACAGTCCTCATATTAACAAAGCATCATGGAAGTTGTAGTTTGAAAACATCTGCCAATTTACATTTTAGTAGCACCTATCCTAAACCTTTTTCACTGCAGACCTTAAACACATACAAAATCAGTCATGTGACAGGAAAGGGTAATTGCAAGTTACCATGGTTACAGATTTGCATCAAAACAACAAGAATGAATACAATAAAATGATAACCGTTACAAATAAAAATAAAATAACCTCATCAGAAGCAGCTTACCCAAACAAAAAGTATGCCATACATTTCAGTTATTCCACTTAATATATGTTGCATTTCCTTCTTTAAATGTCAATGTTTTCAAAGTATGCACAAAAAATAACTAACATCTTGAGGACATATTTCGTTTCTACTTCATTGTTTTTTCTTTTTTACTTTACATAAACATTAAAGCACGAAGCCTTAACAGCAAGGTAATCATGACTAGGAGGATCTACCTATTCTAAGGCCCATTCACAAATTATGGGACTCCATTATGGAGAGCTATGTAAATGAGCACTAGTCATTTTAATTGAACCCTAAAGAAAACAGGAATTCTGTGTACGGTTTGGCAAACTGGGCTATCCATGAGAAGAGTGGTTATTAAGGAAGATAATCTTAGCAATATAATACCATTATATAAACATATGCTGTGTTAATGCAAAGTGTCCTCTGGTGAAGAGTAGATCTAGATTTGAGGCCTAAGGCCCCATAAATCTCCCATTGCCTTCTGGCCCGTAGTCCCATTCATAACCCCCATCTCCACATATCCTTCAACCAACCATCACATTATCAATATTCCCCTAAACATCTCACTCCATTGCCATAACCACCTCACTTTCATTCCTGTAGTAGCCTCATCAACCACAGCCCTGATGACATAACCCCATCACCATCATGTCTTCACCGCACACACTTAATCGCCTCACCTATTCCTATAACCCATTTATCCGATCGTCGTAATCCAAATCTTCCTACCATCTTAAATCTTCTCACCAAATCCCCATAATCCTCTCACCCCAGTCCCCATAACCACCATACCCCAGCTTCATAACCACAAACAATTCAGACTCTTAACCACCTAATCCCAACTCCTTAACGGGTCTCGTTACGTACACGATTGCATGATTGAAAAATTATGGTTGTGAAAGTTCGATACTCAGCTCTTGCAAAATCCGGACATTGTTAAATTCTGTGAACACTGCCTGTATTTCGTCATTTGAAATAGGGGCATTAAGAGTTTTGTGAATAACCCTGACCCTGTAATTATAAATTATCAATAATTTCAACTTTTTATGGTAACTTTCCTACTGTTTTACTCTTACTATTTTATACAGCTACACATCTTTAGGATGTATTTTAGTATTTTCACAGAAGTTTCAATATAGTGGGCTGATGTCCTATATTTTAATGCTTTCACATAAAATGCTTTCGCCCAGGATTAGGAATAAGACTCAGCTATACCACCTGACACGTCATTCACTCATCAGTTCGGGAATAAGAGGGTTTAGTGAAAATTAGATCCATATTAGGAAAAATGATGTGTAACAGGATGTATGAAATCTCTGGGCTTCAAGGCTTTGGCGCTGACCTACACAGAGGAGTGACATAATTCTAAAGGGCTAAAAGTCGTGGAAATATTGTTGTTTTTTTATGTGTGTTTTTTTTAACTGACCTTTGTTGATCAGAGTTACAGATCGCATCAATTATAAATGGACAAGGAAACTACACTGGAAATTATTAAAGGACCACTCTAGGCACCCAGACCACTTCAGCTTAATGAAGTGGTCTGGGTGCCTGGAGAAACTGCTGTGTTTATGAATGGGTTAAGCCTTCCCCCATTCCCTCTAGTGGCTGTCTCATTGACAGCCGCTAGAGGCGCTTGCGTGCTTCTCACTGTGATTTTCACAGTGAGAGCATGCCAGCGTCCATCACGAAAGCATTATGAATGCTTTCCTAGGATCTGAATGCGCGCGCAGCTCTTGCCGCGGTGCGCATTCAGCCGACGGGGAGGAGAGAAGGAGGATCGGAGGAGGAGAGCTCCCCGCCCAGCGCTGGAAAAAGGTAAGTTTTAACCCCTTTCCCCCTTCCAAAGCCGGGCGGGAGGGGGTCCCTGAGGGTGGGGGCACCCTCAGGGCACTATAGCGCCAGCAAAACGAGTATGTTTTCCTGGCACTATAGTGGTCCTTTAAGAACCAAACCAAAGAGTGGTCTCAAAATCAATTTACCGTGGGTACTGGCCAATTCTTTGTCTCCCAGATCTATCTTCTATAACAGATTTGAAAATATTCTCGCACTCAACTATAGTCACACCTTGGCTTCTTTTTCCTGTACTTTGCCTTTCTGAGTTACATTTGCTGCAATTTAACATTTAATGAATAATACTGTAAGATGTCCTATGAATGTGTCAGGATTGGGGTAACCCCTACACACAGGGAGTAGGATATTAGCCAAAATAGAAGGAAGAACAGGGTACGCATACCGGACCTTAGAGTGACCGGACTTAACGTGTGCCTTAAAAGGCGAGAAATCGTAGTAAAAAAGGATATGTAGGTCAAGGAATACAGAGGTACACAAGAACGAGAAAACAAGCCAAGGGCAAAGGAATACAGAGAGTTAAAATAGTCCAAAGACAAAACCAGATCAGCAACAGAAAAAACAGAATAATAATATAACACAATCTTGGGCTAACAAGAACCACGACAGGACAATGATTCCCAGCAAGGGGGGAACTTATACATGGGTAGAAAGAATACTATTGGACACCATCATCACCCTGCAGCAGGGCACACAAAGGGGTGTGACCTGCGTAGGGCAGACAAGACGTCCAACAAATTTGACATTACTAAAAGGTGAGTATAAAGTGTAAGACCCAAAGGAGGGTCCTGAAAATCCAGCAACCTCGAAGATAGTGCAGAGCTGTCTGCACTTCTGTGGGGAGAACGCTGCTAGACCATTAAGCTGGAGGTATCCAGGAATGCAGTGTTCACCCAAGTGAGAGCAGTGTGGGACCGGGATCTTTGTGGCTTCTGCACGGCACCCTCCTGAGCCTGCAAGTGCCACGTGGCAGTCCTAGGTATGACAGAATGACATTATTATTATAATAAAATGTGTTACGGTTCATAGTTTAGTTAAACAGTGTTGTACATGCCATTGTAGACTGGTCGTAGGGGCAGTGATTCCAAATTTTTGTTGCTAAAAAATTGAAAATATATATATTTTTTAAATCTTTTGGCAGTTAATTTTGAATATAAGGCCAAAGTAGCTAAACTGGAAGCATAGGTGACTTGGATAATTTTCCAGTTTGGCTATTATGGCCTTAAATTTTAAATTCAAAACATATATATGATCTTGGAAGTGAAAGTCAAATGTCAATGTTTGCAGATGACAAGAAAACTAGGTAAGGTAACATTACTTTGCTGCAGAGGGATTTAATTAGGGGACTTAGCATTCAAATGGCAGATGACATTTAATGTAGAAAAATGCACAGTTACTTACTTACACACTGAACAATGCACAAGCTACTTACACCCTAAACGGTAGTGAATTAGTGATAACAACACATGAGAAGGATTTAGCGATGTACAACGTCAATCAGCAGTAGCTAACACCAGTAAGGTATTGTCATATATAAAAAAAAAAAGGGCATCAATTCAAAGGATAAAAATTTATTTTTGCCACTTTATAAATTACTGGTAAGACCACACCATGAATATGCTGTAAAATTTGGGGCACCTGTTCTAAGGAAGGATATTATGGCACTATAAAATGTGCACAGGCTGGTTACAAAATTAATAAGAGGAATGGAAGATTTTAGTTAGGAAGAAAGGTTAACAAATTTAAATCTGTTTAGTATAGAAAAAGGGAGTCTCAGAGGGAATATGATAGTATTATACAAATATATTCGGTGCCAATACGCACTATTCTATGGAAATCTATTCATTAACAGGACTATAGGTAGGACACAAGGTCACCCATTTAGCCTGGAAGAAAGGAGATTTAGTCTAAGGCAAATTAAAGGATTTCGCACAGTAAGAAAAATAAAGATGTGGAATTATCTGCCTGAAGAGGTGGTTTTGTCAGAGTCTGTACAGATGAATTCTTGCAAAACCATAATATTTAGGGATATAATTTTTAATATGTGGGCTAACAGCTTCTTGGTCCAATGAGAGATCTGACTGCCATTCTGGGGTTAAGAAATATATTTTTTTCTCAGTTTGCTGCACAATTAAAAAGTGCTTTAAACTGTTTATTTTGCCTTCTTTTGGATCAACAGCAAAAACAGATGTGAAAATGGCTGAAATTGATGGACACATGCAATTTTTCAGCTTAAATAACTATGTAGCATAAAATTAAAGGCATCCTATAGTGCCAGGAAAACTATAGTGCCAGAAAAAAAAACCTTCAGCCACTTACCTAAATCCAGAGGTGCTGAGTCAGGCTCCGTCCACGCTCCTCTCCTGCCAACTTTAGATGGCGGGGGAGACCTAATGCGCATGCATGGGAGTGGCCGCACTCGCATTAGGATTTTTCCATAGGAAAGCACTATTCAGTGCTTTCCTATAGGGACAAATCTGACTCCTCTGGTAGACAGCCACTGAGGGCAGATGTAGAGCTGCAATGTAAACATTGCAGTTCTGTGGAATTGCAATGTTTACATTGCAGCACTAAGAGCAATAGGGACACAGCACCTACTTCAATTAGCTGAAGTGGTCTGGGGGCTTACAGTGTCCTTCTAACTCCCAAGAATTCTCACTTTAGTGAATAAACATATGAGATTTCTGTTATTACTGATAATTTTATTATTTTTATTTTAATATTTATTATTATTTATTTAATATTATTTTAATATTTTTTCAAATGATTTAATATTTTGCATAACATTTTAAAATATGTTTTTTTTTAAATATTAAACTCTTAAGAAATATATAATATGTAAAAAATATTTCAATATATAAAAAAATCGAAATATTGAGAATGTTTTTCAAAATACTAAATCTTTTTAAAAAGTTTATTCAAAAATATTAAATGGAAGCTCATGTCAGATAAATCATCTTCATACAAAAAAAAACCTATATAAAATTATGTGAATATTCTGCATTAAAAATAATAAGAATTATGCCTCTGACTCACCTACCTGATGTGTAAACTATAAAATCAAAATAAAGATTGTCAAAGGAAAAATAAAAATAATAAGAATTATGAATACTTTGAAGAACTGAAGTAAAAAATAATCAGTGACAGCTATGCGTTAAACTTGTCAGATAAAATTGTCAGATGCACAAATATTATTGGAATGTAATGAATACATCAGAAGGCGCCTTTGATTATGTCAGAGCAAATGTATTCCTTTTTCCTAATGGTTGGGGAATTTACGATCCATTTCCAAGAAAGAAGCTGACACCTTCTGTAAACTGAGGGCAAAGGTGATATTAAACACAACACCAGATTGTAATAATTTACTTTTTTATATATATATATATTTACTTTTTTTTTTTAAATTATCATTATATATTTTTTTTAAGTATTACCTACTTTCCAATCAATGTTTTACACTATCATGTAATTTGGCACTTACATTGTAAGTATGTGGTGAGTCCTCACTCAGGGGAAAAAAAAACATTGTTCATTACAATTTAATGGGCAGACAGACTACTGTTAATGTATTTCTTCTCTGTTGTTTGTTTCAAGCAATCCCCAATAGAAAGTGAGATGGCTTTGTGAAGATATCTTGAAATGCAACAGATCATCAATATTCTAGTACTTGTCTCTAGAGTTCGTACGTTCCCTCTTGGGCTTCTGATGTCATATCCAAGCACTTATGCTCGCACAATAAGTTTTCTCATACTCCACTTACTTGTAAATAGCAAGAAAAAAAAAATCTGTTCTATCCATTGTACAGCGCTACGGAATTTGTTGGCGCTTTATAAATAATAAAATAATAATAATAATAATTATTATTATTAACTTTGTACCATGAGGGGATATTACAAACGGAATCATCTTTAACGTTGCAGAATGGCCCAATGCAATCTTTCCGCAGACATGGGTTTTAAAAGATTGTGAAGAAAATTGAATCCTTTATCATGTAGCAATGCTAATTATTAATATAATTTAATGATAGTTTAACCCCTTCCCGACCGCAGACGGAAATTTTCCGTCAACCTTGTCCTTCAGTTAAGGACCGTTGACGGAAAATTTCCGTCATTTACTAAAGTTAACCCCAGATTGCCGCGATCGCGGGGTTAACGGTGCTCCGGTCTGCCTCTGTATTAGAGGCAGACCGGGAGCACCCGATCGGGCTGCCCCAGCACCGGTGCTCGCTCTGACAGGTTGTCAGAGCGAGCAACCTGTCAGAGCGAGCACCGGTGCTGGGGCAGCCCGATCGGGTGCTCCCGGTCTGCCTCTAATACAGAGGCAGACCGGAGCACCGTTAACCCCGCGATCGCGGCAATCTGGGGTTAACTTTAGTAAATGACGGAAATTTTCCGTCAACGGTCCTCAGTGTACTTACCTTCCACCTCCCTGCACTTCCGGGTTCTGTGTGAAGACATTTTAATGTCATCTGATTTTTTTTAAATATTTAAAAATTATATATTTAGCTAGCTGGGGTGGGTGGAAGTTAGTGGGGAATTGGGGAATTTGTTGTTAGGCTAACTAGGGGTTAACGTTAAAAAAGGTTTTAAAATAAGCTTTAAAAAGGTAAAAAAAAATGTTTTAGTAACGTTTAAGTAAAAATAAAAAAAATACCACCCCACTTTACCCAGTCTAAATAAAAATTAACCCCTTCCCTGCCAGCTGATCACTGCCTACAGTGATCAAAATACAGATCACAGTATTATACTGTAATCTAATTTCTTTTAACTCCTGAGGATAAACTTTTATTTATTTTTTAACCCTCAGGGGTTCAATTTATTTAATTAATTAATTTAAATATTTTCTAATTATATATATTTTGCTAGCTGGAGTGGGTGGGAGTTATGGGAAATGGGGGAATTTACTGTTAGTGCTGCTTACTGCTAGTTAGGTGTTAATGGTAAAAGAAAAGTTTAGAAAAAAATTTAAAAGTGTAAAACATTTAATGAGTAAAAAAAAAAAAGTTTAAAAATGGGTTTTACAAAGTAAAAAAAGTTTTACAAAGTAAAAAAAATACATTAAAAAATGCTCATTACCACTACACTTGGTACAAGCTAGCGGAAAAATTATCCCACGCTAAGGTTCAAAATATGCCTTTTGAATTACCCTGGGATGTCTTCTTTAAGAAATGGTATGCCTTTATGGTGTAATTGGATTATATAGCCTTGTAAAATACTCTAAAATGGGAAATGGACACAGCGTAAAAATTCAAAATTTGAGAAAAACTGGAATGGCTGTGTCTCAAATGTGCCCCTTCAATGTCCACATATACCTGGCAAAGGTACATACGGGGGTATTGCTGTACTCATCCGACATAACTGAGCAACATATGAAGTATTATACAGTCATAGTACACGTAAGGTTTGCAAAATATACTGCGCAAACTCACTTTGTGTGTCAAAAAGGCAGAAAAAATGCTTATTACCACTACACTTGGTACAAGCTAGCGGAAAAATGATCCCACGTAAGGTTCAAAATATGCCTTTTGAAATACCCTGAGATGTCTTCTTTAAGAAATGGTATGGCTTTATGGGGTATTTGGATTATATAGCCTGGTAAAATACTCTAAAATGCGACATGGGCACAGTGTAAAAATTTAAAGTTTGAAAAGAACTGGAATGGCTGTGTCCCAAATGTGCCCCTCCGATGTCCACATATACCAGGCAAAGGAACATACGGGGATATTGCTGTACTCAGCCGACATAGCTGAGCAACATATGAAGTATTATACAGTCGTAGCACACATATGATTTGCAAAATATACTGTGCAAACTCACTTTGTGTGTCAAAAAGGCAAAAAAAACGCTTATCACCACTACACTTGGTACAAGCTAGCGGAAAAATTATCCCACGCTAAGGTTCAAAATATGCCTTTTGAAATACCCTGGGATGTGTTCTTTAAGAAATGGTATGCCTTTATGGTGTAGTTGTAATATGTAGCCTGCTCAAGTGCTCCAAAGTGGGACACGGACGCATCAAAACCCTCACGTCTCTTTTACAGCACTGTAACTTCACAAAATAGTGTCTAGGTCATACATTGGGCATATTGTTTTACTCAGAAGACTTAGCTGAGCATAATTTGGGGGGTTTGAACTTAGTGGCACATATGAAATGTACAAAATGCCCAGCAAAAATGTAATCCGTATATAAAAAAATACCCCAAATGATTTTTTACCACATATTTTGGCATATATTGGTGAAAAAATGGGGGCATGTTAAGGCACAATATGCCCCATATGAGATACCCTGGAGTGTCTACTTTTACAAATGATAGGCCTTTGTGGGCTTTTTTTGAACAGTCAAACTGCTATAATACCCCAAAGTGAAGCATAGCCCCATTAAATGCGCCTCTCAAAATTCTACTGTAAATGTTGAAACGGACAGGTCTCCTATATGGCACTGTAGCTTCACAAAATAGTGCCAAAGACATACAATGGGGGTATCGTTGTACTCAGCAGAAGTAACCGAACACAAAATAAAACTTTGTACAGGAATAGCACACACCAACTTTACAAAATACATATTTAGCAGAGATTGGCGGTAAAATGGCTGCGTAGAAAGTGTCAAAACAACCTTAGGACAATAGCCTGTGATGTCTACTTTATATAAATATATACTTTTGTGTGGCAATTTTGTTTTCTTTTATGGCTATTAAGCTTACAAGACAAACATACCAAATTCTAAAATCGCTCCACATTAAAAGTTTTTTACTCTTTGTGCTTTGTGACCTGTAACTACCAAAAAAAAAATTAAAATCTCAGACACATTATATATTCTGTAAATCAGAACAACTAAATTAATTTATTTTTAATTACTTTCTTTAACCTGCACTAATTAGGCACACATTATTATTGCAAAAACTGTGCAAAAAACAATTTATTTTTTATTTTTTTGCCTTTTTCTGTATTTTTTTTTTTTTATTCTTTATTTTGTTGTGCTGAGGATAACAAACAGCTTTACTTCGCCACGACAGCTGAAACAAGCAATGCAGTAACATTCATTTACATGGCATTTCGAAACAGCACATTTTTATGTTATAGGGAAAGCACGTTAATAACAACAGTTTATATCTTAAGACCTGCTTTCAACAGTAAGTTGGGGCAAATAGAGCTATGTCTAAAAAGGTCAAAGGCAAATTAATAAGAGTGGTAAGTAGCAATTGGATACAAGAGTAAGCCCCCAGGGAAGTCCCAGGCTGGCGACATTCAGAACGCGGGACAACAATATAATGCCATGTAGGG